TTTATGGAATTTTGGGATTGCCGGGCACGATCAAATTGGGATCAGGTCAGGAAATTAGGGTCAGGGATCTTATAATTTAAAGTTGCTGGGAAGCCCCTCTATAGCGGAGCCGCCATCTAAGGGAACTGTGCCTCCAGTGTTGCTGTCAGCTGTTGTTGGGCATAGTTATACTGGAATAGATATATTGAAATTGCATTAGACATTGTCATTAAGAGATTGGGGAGACCCGTGCAGTAAAGTTCAGAAGAGTAGAAATCCACTTGCTGGACTCTTCTTTACGTAATTAATTCGTTGCCGTAGGCCTTATTACCATGTATCGCACCCCCTTAGAAGTACTCTGAGGCAAATACTATCGTGATTTCAATAATTCGTTTCATTATGGCTAATGCAGAGCAGCAGTGGGTTGCAACGATGGAGGTAAAGGTCCAACAGATGGAGGCTGCATTAACGCAGCTTCAGCTGCAATGGACCGAGGAAAGAAATAGACCTCGTGGGGTTAGAACCAATCTCAAACTGAACAAGCCAGACGTGTATGATGGGAAGGCCGATGTGTCTTGCGTTCGCAAATGGCTATATCGAATGGAACAAATGTTTGCAGCGGAACAGGTTGCAGCCGGACGTGATGTCGAAGAAGCGGTGAAGTTACAATATGCTAGTACGTTTCTTAGTGGCCGTGCATTGGCGTGATATCCTGAGACTGTCGGGCGGTTTAACACTTGGGGGGGATGTCTGCCGGTCTACAAACTATGTTTTTGCCACCAAATTGGGAGAACGACTGCTGCGAGAAGCTTATGGCAGTACGTCAGACTGGTTCGGTGCGTGCATATACTTAAAAGTTCCAGGAGCTACTACTCAATGTACCGCGCATTGCTGACGAGGAGAAGGTTGATATCTTCATTCGTGGACTGAAGAAACAGGGTCGATTATGCAAAGGTCACAGACCACCGACACAGTTACCAATGTCACCGGTAACCCAAATTCAAACCGTTGCAAAAGGTGTGGCAAGAAGGGCCATTTTGCGAAGGATTGCAAGTTCGATGGAGATTAAAAAGAGCCACATGCAGGCGGTATGCAAACAAGAATGACATGCGGCTGCCGTGTGGCGCATTGGGGATATCAAGAGAGTTTGGAGAGAGAACTTGCTAATAGATGGTCGTACGGTGTCGGCTATATTAGACAGCGGGGCAGAGATAAGTGTACTACCGAATGGCTAGGCTGGTCCAGAAACGAAGGAGGAGAGAATACTGGATGGATTTGGTGGGCGTATACTTTCGCTAGGAAAGGTAACGCTCGATGTTGACTTCACTGAGGTCGTTACTCAGGAAGTATTTGACGTGGTAGATAACGGAGTGTTAGACGTGTCACTATTGAGATGGCCTTGGATACGGGATCGTGTGATGGGATCGTCAACGACTGTGAGATCTCGCACGGATCATATCTTAGAGCTAGAAAAGGGCCTTTCTTGGCGAGGAGCAGACTCGGCTAGTGAGGAGGCGCCTGTACAGGTAGAATGGATGACTGACGCCATCTCTGAGCTTTTAAGGGAGGTCTGTTGGACAGATGGGGAGTACTCGACGATCGAGGGAGCTGAGTACGATATCATTTTACAGGATGGCGCTATTCCAGTATACGTGTACTACGAAGAAAAGAACATTGAGAAGAGGGTGGCAATCCGTGAGGAAATATTGGCCATGCTCAAAGAAGGGTAATCGAACGATGCGATTGGAAGATATTGTGGAATCTTCAACCGGTTGTGGTGCCCAAGAAAGAACAAGATGATTGGAGAATTTGTGCGAATCTGGTGCCTCTGAATCGCCAGGTAAAATATCGTGACTTTCCCGTACCGAAGGGGGAATACCTGGTACGAGAAGCCTCTGTGTATAAGTATTATACCAAATTGGATATAGCTAGGGGGTACTGACATGTTAAGTTGTCGGATACCGCTCGAAGTTACACGACCTTTACGTTTGAGGGTCAAAGATATCGCTATACTGTAATGCCCATGGGCCTCGTGGACTCCGGATTTACCTTTCAATCGTCGATGGAGGTAACCATAGGAGATCTCGAGGGCGTGTTCATATACATAGATGATGTGATTCTGTGTTCGATGACAATTAATGAGCATGTAGCATTGATAGAGGTGTAATAAGCCGGGCCTCCACATTAGACTCTATATATAAACGTACTCTGAAGCAGTACGTAAATCATAAACGTACTCTGAAGCAGTACGTAAATCATAAACGTACTCTTAATAGTACGAGGAACTTAATTTTCCTAAATGAACTCTTAATAGTACGAGGAACATAAGCTTCCTAAATGTACTCTTAATAGTACGAGGAATTAAGTTTCCTAAATGTGCTCTTAATAGCACGAGGAACTTAAATTTCCTAAAATGATTTTTAATGGCTTTATTAATTAATACCTTTTCCAATTTCCACATTGTAAGATTCGGTCTAATAAAGGCGATACTGATACCTTAGAATAAATAAACGCGTAGGTAAATTCTAAGTAAAGTGTAAATATCGATACAAATAAACGAAATGAGACGTTTAATAAAGTTAGGCTTGCCTCGTGAAAACAGTAATACTCTGAGGGATTGCGAGGTTGAGACATTGCCTATATATAATCCTCTCAGTACTGTTTCCGCCGAAGGGATTTTATTTAGTGTTTCGTTGTCGCTCTAATAGAAACTATGATACATTCCACTGGGGCGAATCCGAGAGACTCATAAAATCTTATCTTTAGAAAAAATTAATTAAATAAATAAAAATACTCTTGACGTCCTTAGTTATTGGCATTAACCAATAACTTGCCACTATCAAGAATTACCGACTTCGCCTTCATCAGACTGGCACATCTGGTTGGCTGATCGGAGGATCAACTAGGTAACGTTAATAGCCCTTAGAAACCTATATTCGGTTGAGCCATCTCGCTACCGAAGTATTCTGATATCAATAAAGTTAGAAAGTAAATAAGGTTCTATTAATAGAACTAGACCAACTCTTATGTTTGGTATTTTACTGAGGCCTTTTTATTGGCCACGTCCAAATATCTGATATGTAAACCCTTAATAAAACTAATAAAACCCATTTTAGGAAACTTAAGTTCCTCGTGCTATTAAAAGTACATTTAGGAAACTTAAGTTCCTCGTACTATTAAGAGTACATTTAGGAAACTTAAGTCCCTCGTACTATTAAGAGTACATTTAGGAAACTTAATTTCCTCGTACTATTAAACGTACGTTTATAATTTACGTACTGCTTAAGAGTACGTTTATAACATAGAGTATAAAACGGAGGCCCGGCCTACTACACAGCACCCACCCAGCTTTAAGACCCATGAGATGCAAGTTGCTCACTCAAGCTGATTATGGGTCAAAAAGCGAGAAAGGAAAAACGGGTCAAAACATTAAGTAGCATATCATATAGTTAATGTTTCTCAGGTGGAGAAGTTAAGCGTTCTCGTTTACCCTGTGAGTTTTGGGCTTAGGACCAGTAGGTCCGTGGTGGTCGACTGGACGTCTCTTACACTTCAGTGTCTTAAGCACATATGAAGGATGAGCTTTAAGGCTCGGGATAAATGCTGTATGCGGATAAGTTTTAACTTCCGTTCTTTCAGACGATGGAAACATGCTATCTTTTTCAGCTTGTGACTTATGCAGGCGTTTACGCCATTTTCAATTAAAGGCTTTTAAATAGTCTTGATTATCGAAAGCCTCTGAAGTCAACTCAGCTGTTGTACCATCTATAAAGCGTGTACGATAGTATGTATAGCCTCCCTTATCCGTTCTCCATATAGTGTCTTTAAATTCAGAACGGTCAAGAGGGGCATTAGAGTCATGTCTTCTTGCGAGTATAATCTCTGTAGTCGGAATACGACTTGTGTCTATATTAAGCGCACTAGAACCATCGGGATTATTTACCTTGTACGTTCCACTTTTAGTGTCTGCTACAGAGATTATATATGGACCTATCCATTTAATTGTTAATACCGTAGCATCGGAATTACGTTCTGACACCCGGCCGTGAGTCACCCATCCTCGAGGGTATTATAGACCCAGAGGCAGGTAGATTTACTCCGCCCCTTGTACCCATTTGGGATGCTAATCGTCGGAAACCAGTTAAGACTGGGTATGTTATCCCGATGCATGGATCACCCAAGGTTATAATACCAACCGCTACCCGTGGAACAGAGCACCAAAAGGCCTCTATCATGGATTTTACAAGGGGTAATAAACACCCCCGTAGACGTGTGAACGATGTCGAGTTTAATCGCTTCGATCGCACAGCCTTATACCAGCCCGCAGAGTATTTCCGCTCTGGCGAGGTGACCGACCTTAATAAATCGGTCAACGATTATACCATGAAAATAGAAATCGCCAATGATGCACATCATACTGATGATGTATCATACTATGCGAATATGATTACGATGAAGCAAAAGCGCATAGATCAGTTACTTCAGGCCCGACGTGGACAAGACCACAGGGACAACCAGAAGTACAAGGGACAGATCAGTCGACTTAAGTCGAACTCGGATGCCAACAGCAAGCAGGCCGAGTTTATAAACAACCATGACCTCGACACGCTAACCCGTACGCTTAATGCGTGGAGACGAATGATATCGCTCCCTCTCTGCCTTAATGCAGACGTTTGGCCCTACAGGTACAAGTTATTTGATTCTGCAGCGACACCAGCATGAGCTAGACACTTGTCGTGACTGGCCAGCTGTGTGGGAGTTGGTTACATCCTTGTTAAGTACGGACATGCGTAGCCCTGGACTGAGTTCAATCTTAAATGAACCAGCTGAGAACACGCCCATTGTTATATTCTGAAATCGGATGCTGACCTGAAACGTCCAGATAAAACAAAGGACAAGGCACAGCGATGGTACGAATTCTAAATAAATTATTGCCGACTCACAGCTTTCACTTACCTCGTGTTAACGAGCTCCTGCGAAGGATGGAAGGTGCTACAGTGTTTACAAGTAGAAGGATACCATCAAATGGAGGTACATGAACCCCACCGTAAATACTTTAGCTTTACGTGGAAAGGCAAACAATACCGGTTCAGAGGTGCACCTTTCGGGTTATACTCTTTACCAGCATTCTTCCAACAAGTAATAGAAGAAATGTTTGCAGACATGCCTAACGTGCAAGTCTATATAGATGACATAGTCATCTTTTCTAAGACTAAGGGCGAACACGCCGCATTAGTCAGACGAGTCCTTAAGAGACTCAACGAGCAAAACTTCAATGTTAACGAGAAGAAATGCCACTTCGCAATGAGCGAAATACAGCTCTTAGGCTACCATATATCTGAGGAAGGTATTAAGATCGACCCCGGTAAGGTAGCACACCTGTTAGATTGGCAAACACCAACTACAGGAAGAGATGTTAACAGCATGTGTGGGTTTGTAAACTTCTTTCCAGATGGTGTACCACACTTGGCTGACTACCTTAAACCTTTTGGACACTTAAGATGTCATAAAAGGCAAACTAGGAGACTTGTGGACTAAAGAGTGTGATGACGCGTTTAAAGCGCTCAAACACGCAATTCAACAAGCCCCAGTTGTAAAAGGGCTAGTCGATGGCGTGCCGTTTGAAATAGCAACGGACGCCTCCGACTTAGTCTTAGGAAGAGTACTATATCAGGTTATAAATAACAAACCTAGATATATACAATTCT